AGAGGTTGCTGTGAGCTGTGCGACACCACGCACCACTCTACGGAGGGCAACAAAGTGAGACTCTGTCTCTACAAAAAAAAAGAGTTGCTTCTTTCTCTTTCATTTCCTTAAAACAAAACAAAAGACCCCCCAAACCCCAAAGCCAGGATACTCATAGGTAGGCATTCTTAACTAAATTTGCATCTGAAAATAAGTCACAATTCTTTCATTTTACCTTTGTTTTCTTGTTTGCATGAGGCTCAAGAGGATTTGAGTGGTACTAGAGCAGAAAATAAGGATCTAATGATCAAAGAAACGCATTGTAGTTTATTAGTTTCATAAAGCTTTAAAAATTCAAGGCTTTCAGTCGTTAGCACAATTTTTGTTTGACAGAGTCCCTAAAGCCAGCAGGGGGCAGCACATCCTCACAGAGAGTCAGGCTGATTCAACCTGTGCCAGCTGGGGACCTGGGACTTCACCTGTCAGAGATACAAACTTAACGTTACCTTCCTTACCTTCTCCTTACCTTCGCTGCATTTTCCTGGTTTGGAGCAGGCTGGAGTTCCCAAGTGTGCAACAAAGCTTAGCTAAAGGACCAGGATAAATTGGAATATCCAATGCCAAGTGCAGGGTCAAATGGAATTAAGAAGAAAAAGAATATTGTGATCATAAATAAAAATCATCCTGTAGAAGATAATGTAAACATTTTGATTATTCCAGCCACTCTCTGTGCTATAAAACATGAAAGAAATATCCTTGGATAATTATATTTCACATCCATTTTGCAGAAAAAGTGCTAAAGATGTCAAATAATTCACCCCTGTATCTTCTATTCCCCAAGATATAGTATTTTTTTCCTTTCTTAAAAATTGTGTTTATTTATTGTGTGTATAGGAGTGTTTACCTAAGTGGCCCAGGCTGGACTTGAACTCCTAGGTGCAAGAGATCCTCCTGCTTCAGCCTCCCATTCCCAAACTGGGATTACAAGAACATACTACTGTGCCCAGGAGGATTTATTATTTTACCTTATGAAGCCAAATTAACCTGCTCCTTTAATATTGGTCCATTTACCCAGCAAATACTGATTGGGGGGAGAGGATATAGAGTAAGCAGAGCATGGACTCTGTTCTTATTTCTTTTTTTTTTGGAGTCTCAAGCTGTTGCCCTGGGTAGAGTACCGTGGCGTCACAGCTCACAGCAACCTCCAACTCATGGGCTTAAGCGATTTTCTTGCCTTAGCCTCCCAAGTAACTGGGACTACAGGTGCCAGCCACAATGCCCGGCTATTTTTTTTTTTTTTTTGTAATTGTCATTGTTTGGCAGGCCCAGGCTGGGTTCGAACCCTCCAGCTCCAGGGTATATGGCTGGCTTCCTAGATGCTGAGCTATAGGCTCTGAGCCTTTGTTCTTGTCTGTACAATAGAAAACACTTGGGACTTGGCTCAGGAAACTTGGGTTCTAGCTTTAGACATGGCGATATAACTGGCTATGCAGTCGTGGGTAAGTTACTTAACTTCTCTGTGCCTGAGATATAAAAATGATACCAATATCACCTGCCCTACTGACCTCACAGATGCAATATGAAATGCCACATGCAAAGATGTTTGAGGAAAGACCCAAACCCCACACCATAATGAACATATCCTACAGCAAGGTCAGGGGCAGCTTAGTGAGTCCCTCCCATGTGCCGAGCACTATGTTGATAAATACTATCTCAGTTAAGATCATAGTCCCTGTGAGGCAGGTATTATTGGCTTCATTTTATAGATGAGGAAGTCCAGGGGGGTGCTGGGAGGCTGGCTGAAAGTCAGACTGTTAGAAAGTGGTGGAGCCAAATTTAAATCCAGTTCTGCCCAGAGCCCTTTATGTGCTGTGTCAGTCTGCTTCTTCATCCTGCACTTGGGAAGTAGTACTGCTCCCTCACTGTGGCCCAGAAGACGGCTGGCTATTTGGAGATAACGTGGGTGGGGATCTGTAAAGAGAAGTTCCTTACCTGGGCTAAGCCTCCATGACATCATTGCCAAAGTCCTGGCAACGCGTCCCGTAGGATGCCCAGGGCCTTGCTCTGTGAATTATGCAGTCTCATTAGCTGGGGGTGAGGTGGCTCGCACAGAATAGATCCTGAGATGCCTCATCAATTCTGTGTATTATCTGGAGCTTGGTATTCTTTCATCTATCACACAGCTGCAAAGAAACTAAGTCCCTTCTGGTTTCTGGCACCTTCTGTGGAAGTCCAAATATTAAGTGAGAGGTAACATTATCAGGCAGGCATATTCTAACCCATATATATAATACCTCTTTATTTTTATTTTTATTTTTTTTTTTATTGAATGGTAACTGTGTACATTGATGCACTTTGGGGGTACAGTGTGGTGTTTTCACACACAATCCAAGACATTTCCATCGTATAATACCTCTTTAATAAGAATTAGTAATGGTATTTTTATCTCCATTTTACAGATAAGGAAACTGGTTGTTTGCTGCAAGTAAAAGTAGCAGAGCCAGGATTTGAATCCAGGCAGTCTGGCTCCAGAGGCTGCACTATTAACCACCGGACAAGTCCATCTCCTTACTTAATACCACAGAAGAGGAGGAGATGGGGAGAGGGAGGATGAATAGGAAAAAAAAAAAAAAAGAAGAGGGACAAAATAAATGGATCCTGTGAATGCCACCAGGTAGTTTAACAGGCAGCTTCTGGAGGACTTCCTATCTGCCTTGGAACCATGTACTCCTCAGTCACAAAAACCGTCCATATTTCACCCTGGAAGAGGAAGGGAGACGCTGGGTAGTAGTGGTTCAACAGGAAAGTCACTGGTGCTTGACAGAAATTCTTGTGTTCCCAAGCACATCGTAAAGGTGGAAAGTTACTGAGCCAGAGTGGCTGAGTTTTAAGGCACAAGCCCACTCAGTCAGTCACAGACCAACTGTTAAGGATTCCATTGTCGCTCTGCTTCCCTAAAAACTTGCCTTGTTTTAAGCAGGCTGTTCTGCAGAAGTGAAATTTAAACATATCCACAACCTTACTCTCATTAGATTTGGTTATCTGTTTGCTTTAAAGACGTCGAAACACTCGGTAAACCTTAACTGAAAGGATTGTCTTGCAGTTAAAAAGCAAACCAAAAATGCTCCACCAGTAAAATTAGCTCAACTTTTGGTGCGTGATTGTACATTTTCACGATAAGATGGTTAGAAAAAATACTCCACCCAAATTTGCAGAACGATTGCTCATCTATTCGCGCCAGTTCATTAAATTTCCTAATGGCAACTATGGAAGAATAAACACTTTTATCCGGAAAGCTTTTGATCTTTAAACAAGTACCTTACAACAGAGACGGGAAAAGAGGGTTCCCAAGAACTCGGGAGGGACAGCGAATTCTGGTGGGACCTCCAGGGAGGTTCCAGCTCCCCGCGTAGTACCTGGGAGCACAGAGCCGCGGGGGTCCCCTTTGGGGCGGGGGCGTCGCCTCCTAGGCGCCCAGGTCCGCCGGCCGCGGGAGGCGGGAGCACGCGGGATGGAAGCCGGGTAGCTGGCAGTGTCCGCCTTGGCCCGCGCCCCGCGGGTGGCTCCCCGCTCCGAGAGCACAGGACCGGGAGGTCCCAGGGAGCTCACACCGCTGGCGGCCGTGAAGAGCTCAAAAGCAAAGCACGTGGCTGGGGAGGGGGCGGCCGCGTGGCGAGCACCCACGTCGCTCCGGGGCCGGGGGCAGGCTGCGAGCCCCGGCAGCCATCCGGGAAGGGCTGGTGGGGGGCGACGCCCGGGTCCCGTCTCTAAGGGGAAAGCGCCACCTCGCACGGCCCCCTTTCCTCCGCGGCGCGCTCCGAGAAAACCCAGCCCGGGAAGCCGCCGGCCCGGCCCCGCGCGGTCCCACTGGAATTCGCCAGCGGGTCTCCTATTTCTGGGGACACACTTCTTTAGTATCTGTAGCAACGTGCTCGCTCGGGGACCGGTGGCTGCCCCGCCGCGTCGCAGGCGCAGAGTTTTCTTCAGGGGGGTAAGATGGCAGGTCGGGGGAAACAAAGGAAACTTGGGCCGGGCTCTGCGAGCGGCGTGTGTGGCGCGCACGGCCGCCCCGGGTCCTGGGTGGGAGTCGCC